CTTGTCCTGAAGGACCCCTCATTGCCACCTCTGATACAATCAGAGACTAACTACTCTCACCGTTCAGGGATAATAAGGAGGCACATAAGCATCTCCCTTACAGCTCATATCCTCGTATCAATTCATTTCAATCAATCAATCACGTTGCTTTTTGGGCCCTCCTTGCATGAGATCCAGCCTCAACGCCTCCTCCTTAATCCTTTGATGCTTATGTAGCATATTACTTTCACTCACCGTCCTTATATCTTCTTTGCCCACATCTCTACTTCATTATTGCTCAATAAACATTGTTCAGAATCAACTCAAACAATTTCAACATGTCATCATCAAACCGCTTTTTGATCTGGGGAGGAGAAGGTTGGGTTGCTGGTATGTCTAACACCCCACTCCCATTCAAGAGCTTCTGAACCGTGCTAACCCAGTTTCCCCAGGACATCTCAAGACTCTCCTCGAAAGTCAGGGAAAGGAAGTTTACACCACCACTGTTCGCATGCAAAATCGCGAATCTGTCATTGCAGAAATTGAAAAAATCAAGCCAACCCATGTTCTTAACTGTGCTGGCTGCACTGGACGCCCTAATGTCGATTGGTGTGAGGATAATAAGGAGGAGACGATTCGAAGCAATGTTATCGGAACGCTGAACTTGACCGATGTTTGCTACTTGAAGGGTATTCATATTACTGTCTTCGCTACAGGATGTATCTATACCTACAACGATGAGCATCCAATTGGCGGACCTGGATTCTTGGAGACTGACCCAGCCAACTTTGCTGGCTCATTCTACTCAGAAACCAAGGCCCACGTCGAGGAGGTTGGTACAATTTCTTCAATGATTTCGGAGACAGATACTAACAACTAGTGCGCAGGTTATGAAGACATACAACAACACCCTTATCCTCCGACTTCGAATGCCCGTCAGTGATGATCTTCACCCCCGAAACTTCGTCACCAAAATTGCCAAATATGACCGTGTAGTCGACATCCCCAACTCGAATACCATTCTCCACGATCTTCTCCCTGCTTCCATCCTCATGGCCGAGCACAAAGATACCGGTATCTACAACTTTACCAACCCAGGTGCCATTTCTCACAACGAGGTTTTGGCCCTCTTCAAGGAATACGTGAGACCAGATTTCACATGGAAGAACTTCACATTGGAGGAACAATCCAAGGTCATCAAGGCGGGACGAAGCAATTGCAAGTTGGATACTAGCAAGTTGGTCAAGAAGTTGGGCGAGTATGGGTATGAGGTCCCAGAAATTCACGAGGCGTACAAGGGGTGTTTCCAAAGAATGGCTGCTGCCGGTACCAAATAGATGGGGCTCACATGTAACATGCAGAGGCTGTGATTCTGTGTCTTATCATCTGAAGTATATCTTTATTTTCAAACGTGGTTGAATATCTCCACGCTATATTTCAAATAAATATACTTATTATTATTGTCCAAAATGTTCTAGGACTTTTCGAATGTATGCTTGCGATATGATCAGAGTATGAAATATAGCTACAATCACTGACGAGCCACTTTGACATTATTGTCAGAGGGGCTCAGACGATACACAACGGCTCTACATACGCCAGCATGGATTCTCCAGCTTGATTGTTGCGCATACATGCCATTGGAACCGATGAACATGTTCACAACTTCATATTGAGCAAGCAATCCATGTTTTGCGATGATATTCATCCAGTATTTCCCATCTCCTCTTTCTTTTATGACGTTTCCTTCTTCCCCAAGTTCATTCGGTGGGTGCATTGATGAAATCTTAATCTTAAGTATTTTCATACTGTATTTTATGGATCCTTGGCTGCCCCTCCATGAACGAAAATTTCATGCAAACGAACTGAGACAACACTATCATAAATTAAAAGCACTAGGTATTTAGGTAGGTACTTGGTTCAAACTTGACAGCAAATGACCTGATAATAAGGAAATTTGATATAAAAAGAAAACAATAACAAAGTCATCATCAGATCTAGCTAATGTGTATCTCAACACCCAAATTCTTATTTAAAGAATCACTCACAAGAGTAAGAAAGGAAATGAAAAGAAGAGAAGATAGAGACAGACATCGATATCGTTCGTAATCGTGATTGTGAATACCTCCAGCTACCTACATAAGCTCATAAGCTCATAAGCCACCCTCGCCTTCGCTTCTATGACAGTCAATAAAGCCTCGCGTCATACTATCACAATCTCGGCATTCCATTCTTGAATTGCGAGAAAATAATTTCAGCCTTACACCAAAAACCTGACAAGTCACTGTATATTCATCCCATCCCGATTTTCCTTATCATTAAAGTCGCGGAATATACTATTTTCTCTCTTACTCTATCTATCTACCTATTACAACTAATCACTGGGCTCAAATAACCTCATTCCCTAGAGTACCCCTCAGCAACCTTGAAGATGGTTGTTGACACCACATATTATGAGGCCCTCGGTGTCAAACCCGATGCTTCAGAATTAGAAATCAAGAAAGCATACAGAAAACTAGCTATTATCACTCATCCGGGTAGGTAATTGTCAGCGACTCTCTCACGACGTGCGATATTGATGTGATTGCAGATAAGAACCCCGGCGATGACACCGCTCACGAGAGATTCCAAGCTATTGGCGAAGCATATCAAGTCCTCAGCGATGAAGAGTTGCGCAAACGATATGATAAATTCGGAAAGGATTCTGCGCAACCTGGGGAGGGATTTGCGGACCCGGCAGAGTTCTTTGGAACAATCTTTGGAGGGGAAGCTTTCGTGGATCTGATTGGAGAGATTACTTTGATGAAGGACTTGACGAAGACTATGGATATTACTATGCAGGAAGGCGCGGAAGAGGAAGAAGAGTGAGTTTAGTTCTATTGATATTGTGGGGCATGTCTCGCGGACCTGAGAGGCATCGCGATGTTTTGTGATTATATGGAGGGGTTGACTAATGCGATGATAGATTCCCAGGAACCGAGGCCGCGAAACAGGAGAGTATGGCCGCAGGAGATGAAAAGGCTGGGCCATCGGCGACAGAAGCAGATGGCAAAACTACCCATGTTCCCTCCGCATCTGTGTCTGAGACTCCAGACAGCCCTTCGCCCGCATACTCGGAGAAGCCACCAGCTGTCCCCAGCCCTGCCGCATCGGGAACATCAACTCCAAGGCGCACCACACAGATTCCCCTCCGACCAGCTATCATGAACCAAACTGAAGAAGAGGCTCAAATGGCTGCTGCAGGTATCACAGAAGAGGAGAAAGAGCTGAGGAAGAAAGAGAAGAAGAAGGGTGGTCTCTCCAAGGCCCAACGTGACGAACTTGCAGCGTACGAGAGAGAACGAGCTGCAGCTCGCAAAGAGCGAGTCGACACATTGGCAAAGAAGTTGATCGATCGTATCAGCATATGGACAGAGACAGACAAGGGACCCGATGTCACCAAGGCTTTCCAAGAGAAGACACGCCTCGAAGTAGAGAACCTCAAGATGGAATCTTTCGGTCTGGATATTCTCCATGCGATCGGTCAAACTTATCTCCAAAAGGCTACCGGACTGCTCAAATCCCAGAAATTCTTAGGCATTGGCGGTTTCTTCTCTAGATTAAAGGACAAGGGAACTATCGCGAAGGAAACCTGGAACACTATCTCCAGTGCTATCGATGCGCAAATGACCATGGAGGAAATGGCCAAGATGGAAGAAAAGGGTGGCGAGGACTGGACTGACGAGAAGAAAGTCGAATATGAGCGTCGCGTCACAGGAAAGATCCTTACAGCCGCATGGCGTGGAAGTAAATTTGAGATTCAAGGTGTTCTCAGGGATGTCTGTGATGAGATTCTCAATGATAAGAAAGTTCCCATGGCGAAAAGGCTTGAGCGTGCTCAAGCTCTCGTTATTTCTGGTGAAATCTACTCCAAGGTATATTTTACCCATGCCCTGTGTCCACAACATTCGAGCTACAACTAACAAAATCTTAGGCTCAACGCAACCCAGAAGAAGAAGGCGATTACATGGCCTTCGAACAATTAGTCGCCGAGGCAGCTGCAAAGAAAGAGAGCAAGAAAAAGGGAAAAGATAAGAAAGAACATGGTCACCATCATCATCACTCACACTCAGATGCGCAAGCCGCCGCGGATGACTTACCTAACGTACCTAAAGCCTAAATCTAGGTGGGGAAATTAGATAAATCGGGTAACATGGGAGGTAGGAGAGGGGCGGGACTTCAGTGGTAGTATAGTATACCCAGCGAAGGGACTTCCTATTACTGCGTTGATCAAAGATCAAACGTCTTGATTAAGGTTGCAGTGTGCCAAGAGCGCGATCTGTGGATTTGAGCGTGGAAGCGTAGCAAGTAGATGTCATGTGTATGTCATTGTGGTTATTTTGCATAGGGAATGGAAAGGAATGAGAATGGTAGACTTTCAAATGCTATATGAGATTTCAATATTCGTTCTTGTTAAGATTGTCGGTTCAAATTGGCTATTCGACAAAGCTAGGTGAAATAGGTGTAAAGAGGGTAAGGGAAAGATAGTAAACACCCTAGCGAAATTCCTTCCGCGGGTATAGAGGATCTTATTCTTATTATATGTTATATTGCTTACTAGAAGCCTCCACACGGTAGTCCGAAGCAATATCAACAACTGCAGCCCGATATCCCCATTTCATAAACAGGTTAGCAATCATACCCTGTTTCCAATTGTGAAGTGGCAAGCTTGTTAAGGATGCGATATTGCAATGCCTCCAAACATACATGTAACTTTTATCCAAAGAATAGAGTTATTGAACATCCGATTCGAGTAGAAACCCTATCGTTTCACATCAAATCACACATCAAACGCTTAAAAAATTCAAATGAAATAGTCATTAATACACATCCCATTATTTCCATCAACATCGTGACCCAAAGCTATGGTACATCAATTAACAAATCTCAGGTACAATGAAAAAGTAGAAGTTTTATAAGAGTTCATTAGCGCGCTTAGCCAACTCGTGAGTTGAAAAGAGGTATCACAAAAAAGTAAAGAATTAGAGTTCCGCATGATCAAATGCAGGTGCAGTGTTTTGCACTTCTGGGATACCTTTGTCTTTCGGTGCGAAGTTTCCTTGTCTGATTTCGTTCAAAGCGACGTCGAATCTAGCTCCTGCAAGCCATGCTGCGCCAATCTAGATAGTGTTAGTGAAGGTTTCATGGGTCCAGGAGAAGAAACATACCATAAGCCCAGAGACGACTATCAGGGTTCCGAATACGGCCAACATGAGGTAGAAGACATCTTTCTTAGCCTCTGCTTCCTCGGCTGCTGATTTTTTCTGTGCTACAGATGTCTCACCAGCTTGTTGTAAAGCAATCGCCTCAGGATTTTGAGATGGGAAGATTGATTCGATGAATTGTTCGATCTAAAGGGAGTTAGTCTTGGATGTTTGTATAATTAAATCGAATTACATACCTTTCCGCATGCAATGCTGATCTGAAGGAAGTTGGGGTCCTTAGGCGAGTTCTTTTTATTTATCCTTCTTGCATATCTCTTGAAGATATCACAAACCGTACGCAAATTCTGTGATGATTCCATCATCAATTGGCAAGCATCACCCTTGGTGATCTTGACATTCTTCTCGAAGATAGCAGGATTCTGGAAAACAAGCTCTAAGGTTGCGATCGCCATGGCTTGTGGAATAGCAACAAAATTGAAGACACTCTGGTCTTTAATGCCTGCCATATAGAACAAACATTCATCGGCATGGCGGAGAGAATTCAGAACCATTTCTGAACTGCAATTCAAAGCAATTTGTCTATTTTTGGGCTCGAAAAGATCGTCAAACTTGTCAACATGCTTCGACCAGATCTCCTTGGGCCAGAAACGTCTCTTGTCATCGAAATCTTCCCGAATATCACGAATGATATTTGTCTTTTGGAGAAACTGGCCCATGGCTTCGGACAATTCTGGCTTGCTGAGCAAAGCTGGGTTTGCCAACTTGGCCTCGACGAACAATCTTGTCAAACCATCTCCTACGAGACCGGCTACATAATGACAGTATAATTCATAATCCTTGATAGTGTTGACACCATTGATATTGTGCTCTGCATTGTTCGCATAATCGGCCATTCCATTACCCATCTTTTTGGTAATATCCTTGATGATGCTCTGATATGCTGGTTTGCACTTCTTGAATTCAGTGATGACACAGTCAAAGTGAACCAAGAGTTCTCGATCCTTTTCATTGGGTCCATTCTCGTCGAATGTCCATCCATCCTTTTCAATGATGTCGTCAAAAGCTCTCAACAATGGTTCCTTCTTCCCCAATGGTATTGTCATATCATCTTCCACAGTATCCAATCCTCGTAGAATCAAATAGAAAAGAGCGACTGGCACAAGCAATTCGGGGTTCAATTCTTGGATAACTGAACTAAAACTTCGACTGGTCATTTCGAGGTATTTGAAGCAATCTTTGAGGGATTGAGGTTCCTTGGATGGATCTCTGGTATGGACTGGGTCGTGCCATAGCTTCCTAGTTCATGTATTAGTGATGGCAGTTGAGGAGATGTACGTCTTGAGAATATATACCATTGTAAGATTGCTCTCAACTGATTTGGATGAACAGAAAAGTAAAGGAGATTTTTGACGAGACCCATGATGAATGAAGTGGATATGATTTGACTAATGGATTATCAAAGTTTCTGGATGCGCGGAATATGTGCAAGAGTTGAATTAAGTTGTTGTGGATTATCGTTTCTCTGTGAGTTGATGTGCTCGACTGTATATGGAAATTATGAACGGCCGCGGTAGTCAATTGTTGATCCGAGTCCGTCTATTGAAATCAGAATTGAATGAATGTATCTTGAGAAAGTCACAAGACAAGGAGATGGAGGTATCAATCCAATTTCAGAAAATAAATAACAGATAAATTGGGTGAAATGGGAGAATTGGGAGAATTGGTGAATTGGTGAATTGTATCTGCCAGCAAATTTCAGGGTATTATTTATTGGACGTGAATGGGGTACTGTCACCGCCCAATCTGTGCAGTAAAAAGGACGCTTTAGAGTTTAGGGACTAGTGACTTTCATGCTTTGATGCACACAGGGGGATTTGAAAGTTTACCTTAAAAAATTAAAGTACAATGTGAGATCGATCATACATGTAATGTTGTCTGTATGGAGTCTGTCTGTATAGAATCTGTCTGTATAGAGTCTGTCTGTATAGAGTCTGTATGTATAGAGTCTGTACGTATAGAGTCGGCATCAACACATTTTGACGCAACTATATATACTTTATACTTCATGACATTCAGCCATGAATTATATTACATACATTACTGTACCTCACGATGATAATGATGCCGAGGTTGTTGATGAGAGGAACAGAAAGAAAGCACTTCGGTCAACTTATTAGCCTCCAACTGGTTTTTATACACATATACATCTTTTCCACCCCGTACATCGGAGCTCTCGAGGCTCTCTTTTTGATATTGACAACCAACCCCAGATTCTCTTTGGTTGGGTGCAATGCACATCTTGCAGATCAACCAATCAAATCAAGGTAAGAAATATGTCAAAAAGGAGGCGATGAAATCTGTTGAGTGGACGAGGCTGAGCAATGCTAAAATATCCCGCTCATCACCCGGTATGCGATAATCTCATTGTTTATGTACATTGTCATGCTACGACCCATAACACTTGAAGAGTATCATGATAATACCATCTTCCTCCAAATCCTAGGTTTCATGGCTTCTTATTCTTAACTCTTACCGCCAGCCTAACCGCATTGTCCATGACCGTATCACGTAGCGTCTGTCTGTGAATTCTAGCTTGCCGCACGCTGAGCCATCACCAACTACAATCCTACTCAATTATCTTACAATTGTAATATATATATACTCGGGCGTCTATCTTCATCTGAGCTTATCAAAATAAGGCTTGTGGATATCATTCTCTCAACATCCTTCATTCAATCGCAATTTGTGAATTCCAGCAATGGCCGCCGACATGGAACCTCTGGAGAAAGATGTGGAACAGGCAGAGTCGAAACCGATGATTGGGGAAGAGACACACAACGATAGATATGAGGGCAACGAGGGGAAGAGGAAGAAGGGACTGGCAAGTAAAATTGTCGATATTGCTTGCATTGGCTTGAATATCATGAGCACAGTAGTTCTTGTGTTTCTCAATAAATGGTTTGTGTAAACCCTACCCTTGATCCCAAGATATAAGATCTAATGATAACGTAGGATATTCAAAGACCCCCAGCTGCGAAATATGCAAATATCCTTTGCGATGTGGCATTTTACATGCACAACCATTGTGTTATGGATAGCTAGTCGTTCTTCCTTCAAGCTTTTTGTCCCCATACGATTGCCATTTCTCCAAATGCTTCCATTATGCTGCTTCTTTGCCGGCTTTCTCATACTTGGAAATTTAAGTTTAGCATTCAACTCTGTGGGCTTTTACCAGTCAGTTACTTACCCTAACTCCTTCGTCCCAATATCCCACTAATTCTTCTCTTCAAACCAGACTCGCCAAAATAATGACCACACCCTGCGTGGCCCTTCTCCAATACATCTTCCTCTCCAAAGCCGTCTCCGCGCAAACCATCCTCGCCCTCGCCAGCGTCTGCGTAGGTGTAGGTCTAACTAATACTGGAGCCTCTGGAACCACCACATTTGGCGCATCCATCGCTATTGCTGCATTTGTAGTAACTGCATTTTACCAAGTCTGGATTGGCAAGAAACTCGCCGATTTCAAAGTCTCTTCTCCCCAACTTTTACTCAATCAAGCCCCGATATCCGTTTTGATTCTAGCGTTTCTGGCACCGTTCTTCGATACAAAACCAGATGTGTCGGTTATACCGAGGGATACACTTATTGCACTGGGTTTGAGTGGATTGGCGGCTGCGTTACTGAATTTGAGTCAGTTCTTGATCATTGGAAGAATGTCAGCTTTGACATTCAATGTTGCTTCCAAGTATGAACACCTCTCCTGTTATCTTACCTCCAGACATCATGTGCTAATCCGTTCATCCAGTGTTAAAACAATCATAATCCTCACCTACGGTTTCATGAGCGAAGGTCGAATCCTCACCATCAAAGATTCCATGGGCATATTACTAGCTTTGGGCGGTGCAACAGTGTATAGCCAGCTTTCACAGCGGTGAGAGAAGCGTGTTGTAATGTGTAACGAATCTTGAGGTCATAGGTGAAATCTAGGCGTTTGGTACGTGAAATCTTCAATCTTTGAATTGGATAGGTAGAGAGATAATCTGAATAATATTTACTGTTTTAAACAATGAGCTGGATGAGAGTATTGGAAAGTATCTGTTGAATTCACTAGAAGCGAAAAGCCCACGCCGGATCTACCTATACATGTCCAGGTGTGATGAATTCAAGTCTGCAAATGTAACTGGGGATGAACAAGTATCTATATACAGTCTCAATCATCGGCCGCCATGTAAAAATTCTAAGCAGATAGGTTAGCTCACCGGTGCTCAGTGCGTTTGAATGGAAATATGAATTTACCTCGCTGTGATCCCGTTTAATCAAAGATGATGATTTCGGGAGTCCAAGATGCGGTTTTCATAACGCATGACCTTTAATCAAAAAATTCAACCATCCGTTATTCCACACTAAACTTCAATTGGCCACTACAGAGCAATATAAATCTAGATCGGTAGAGTTTCGAAACACGCATAAAGGACCTATGTATACAGAAGATGAAAATAAAATACGCCAAAGGCTCAGAGGTCCATTTTCGAATGATGATATCCATTATATTGCTGTCAAATATACATCTCTAAACTCCTTACGCCTGATGCCTGAAACCCATTAGACAACGCTAAGGTGTAAAAAAGACAACATGAAGAAAGACAACAGTGTTTACTACGCTAATTCATTATATGTATCACAACCCGTTTACCATATCCATATCATACCAATCATACATTCTACATGCAGGATCTATTCTTCTCGACTGAACTCAGTATCAACTCATCCGTACCATGTATTTCCCATCCGCCCGTCAAACTTATTTACCGTCTCTCTACCAACAAGAAATGCATCGCCACATATGCCAAGAAGATAAAGGCGCCGGCGAAAATAGCGAGGTTGATTGCATCTGGCCAGAATGCCTGCGTGTTGAATCCGAAACTGCTCAAGATTACGGCGCCCGGAACGGTAATATCGAGTTTGTATTTCTGATCCACGAGTGTCAAATATGTGACTTCGTTGACGATTAAAGATTCGAAGCCGTAGTGGAAAATTGACAAGGATTGTAGCCAAAGAGCAGATTTGGGGATGGCATCGTGGTTGAGGAGAAGACCGGCAAAGAGGAGACTGAAAAGCATGACAAGACTTCCGATGAGACTTGCAACACCGTTATCTTTGAAGACAATACCAAGGAAAAGACAGATTGCAGCCGCTGCGAGGTTGAAGAGAACGAGGATGAGGAGGAATTTGAAGAAATTAGGAGCTTCAGCTACAAGTCCAGTCATAGGGTACAAGATAGAGCCCATGATGAGAGGAGGAATAATTCGGAGTGGTACGATGTCGAAGAGAACTTTGGCGAAAAAGTACGTGACAGGAGAGTAGTAGCCATTTGCTCTTTCTCTGACAAAAACCATTCGCTCGGTAGCAAAGACGTTCAGACTGGAGAGGGTACTGAAACCAAAAAGCGCGAGAATGAAAAAGAATAGTCCCAAGCGATTTTGGAATCCCGGAATGTCGTCCGTCAGGCCATAAAACAAGAATCCAGACAGTACAGCCAATAAAATTGCGATTGCGTAGTGTGTCAACATCAACATAGGATTTCTGTAAAGATTGCGCCAGGTACGTTGTGAAAGAATAACAAATTGTCGAAGGTATCCAACTCTTGCATATCCTCTGCCCATCGTAGTTGTGGCTGTTGCGCTGTTCTCTTGCACATGTCCGTTGGTGGTGCCATTGGCATTTTGAGCGGCGGAAACAGCGTTTTTGAGGTCATCCTGAAGATCTCTGGCGATTGGAGATTGTGCATAAGAAGATACCAGAACATCCAAATCCGAACCAGATCCAGATGCATCAGGTGGTAAATTATCTGGATCTTCGGCAATCGATGAATGTTGTCTTGACATCCTGAGCCAGTGCTGATTGGCCTCTGGGTCTACAGGTGCCTCATCAGGTTGGGAAGTAGGGGTGTCGACTCCACTCTTCTTACGAGTGAAAAGCTCACGTTCTTGCCTTGCCCTTACAGAGTCACGACGTTTGCCTTTAGGTCTTAATAGGGACTCGCTTGGGCTACCAACAACAGGTTCCTCGATGCTACCGCCAGAGATGCTTGCAATTGACTTGACCGCCCTAGTACTGCTTGCTCCAACGCTTGGTGTAACGCCGTGTCTAAAATCGGATGTAGTATCATCAATCGGGGTGCGAGGTGTACCAACATGCATTGTCAAATCAACCAAGTAGTCGGCAATGTTGAAACCAGGTGGGCAGGCGTAACCAATGTGATCGAAGTATTCTTGACAAAGATGGAACTCGCCAGAATAGACCGTTCTTCCTTTTGCGAGAAGTAGTAATCTATCGAATAGAGCCACAATGTTAGATCGTGGTTGATGAATGGTAAATATGACCGTTCTTTTATAGTTCTTAGCCAAATTGACGAGACAT